TGTGTGTGGAGGTGGGAGGTGTGCGTGTGTCTGGGCCTCAGGCAGCAGGTTATGGGTGGTGGCGGCAGCAGCAGCCGGGGAAATGTGCCACGCAGCCCTGCCAATCTGCCATGCAGGTTAGGAACCAAGACTTCAAGGAGAGAAGCGGTCAGAAGGTTGCAAGGCTTTGTGTGGGGTGCAACTGGTGAGTAAAGGAAAAGAAGAAGAAAGGAGCAAGTACAGAGTTCAGGAGACCAGCTGGCGCAGTGGGCACAGGAATCCAGTTTGACCACTGAGAGAATGGAAGAAGAGCGAGACAAAAAAGGCAGGGCTGGGTGGAAGGGACCTTTTTGGGACTACAACCCCCAGAATCCTTCCCAGCTTAGGATTGAAGGAGTACTAGTCCCAAACTGATCACTTCTTATCCCCCAAGCTCTGAAAATGTACAAGCAAGAGTCTGGGCACACTCTCTCCCCGGCATGAGTCCCACAGACCATTTTGGTCCTCTGCACATTTTGGAAATGAGCTCCCAGGGGTACCCCAAACATCAGCCAAGCCAGCTAAGGTTCTGGGAAGTCTAAAAATCCCCGGAAGAGCAGTGTTTGAAGACCACCAAGACCACTCCAGCAGGAGGTAAGCATGCACTCCCTTCCTCTCACCCAAATTAAACCCAGATCTCTAAAGAAGTCCGGTTCAAAAGCACCAACCCACTTCAAAAGCTAAGACAGTGTCCAGGACCAAACTTGAGTTTCCCATCTTCCCAAAACAGGAGTCCTGTTGGTACCAGGAGGAGCAGCAGGAGGCATGGCGCCAAGAAAGGACAGACCCTCCTCTTCCTCATACTGGGTCAACACTGAAGTCAGAACCATGGAAGCATCATTTTCCCCCTCCAAAAAAAGAGACACAGACCAATTCTTCCCCCATTCCCACTGGTGTGGCTGGCTGCCACTCTCCTTCCACACAAGCGATGCCTGGCTGACCATCGGAGAGGGCAGAAAAGTCCCCCGCTGTGCCACGCACGGGGGTCCCGGCTTCCAGATCGATCCCATCTGCAGAGCCGCAGTCCAGCGATTGCACATGAAGATGGAAGAATGGGGAGGGAGCAGAGCGAGGTGGGTGTCCCGTCCCCCCCGAATCTCTTTCTCCCCACGTCTTGAGAGGGAACGGAAAGGCTGTGAAGTAAACACGGTGGGTGAATGCCATGGTGCACAAGTCCCAAGGAAGCCTCTGCAGCAGCGACCCCCTCTTTTTAGGAGACCATGTAATGGGTGATGGCCCGGAGGGCATAGAGCAGCTCCGCCTGGAGACGGGCTTCCAGGATGAGAAGATTCACGTGGACCTAGAAAAGGAGCAGAAGACGGATCAGCATCCATGGGAACAGAGGGGGAGTTCTTGGCATTCATTACACTGAATAAAAAAAGCGTTTTGGAAGAAAGAGAAAGCAAAGGGAAGCAAAAGGCTTCATCCTTTTTCCCCTTGCAGCTCCAGACTCTTGGAATCGCCTCCTTGAACATCTGCAGGCTGCTCCTTCTTCTCCCTGTTTTTCAGTTTCTTTGTTTTCCAAAGTCTTTTGAAAATTAGTTTAGTATTGTTTTAACATCTGGCATACTTTGACTATACAGTGGGCCCTTGATATCCACTGAGGCTTGGTCCCAGGATACCAAAATCCGTGAATGTTCAAACCCCATTATATACAATGGCACAGTAATATGGTGGAATAAGGGTCTTACACACAGAAAGTCTCTAAACTGAGAAACTAAAAAACACTAGGCAAGTCAGGTATTTAACAATGCTACAAAAAATTCATGTGTTTACTACAACGTAACAATAGGCATCCAATGGAATAATGAAACCACATAAATCATTTAGATATGGTGTTATTGTTTTGCAGTAAAATGAGTGTCTCTCATATAAAATGGCAAAATCAAGGTTTGCATTCTGGATTTTGGGGGAGTATTTTCAAGCCGTGGATGATTGAATCCATGGATGCATAATATCGAGGGTTGACTGTATGTATTTGCCAGTTTATATTAGATTGCATTGAGGTTTGCTTTTTATATTCTATCCACATAATTTGTTTTACTGTCTTACATTGATTTTATATTTGTATTACTCCTTCCTTCCCTACCCTATTGGAGCTATTACTGGTCTAGAAGAGGGCCGCCTTAAATTCCATTTTGGGGGAAAGGCGGGCTATAAATCCAATACACACATACACAATTTTAAATAGAAAAACCAAAACTGAACTGGAAGTAAAAACCCTGTTCACTTCCTAGTTTAAAAAAGGCCTTTCCTGGGACTAAGATGCTTCAATATCTCTCCTGCAAATGGGACAAAATTGCCCTTCCAATATCCTAGCAGCCATTGGAGGGGCACAAAATGAAGACGCTTGGGGACTTTCCAAAATGGTCCCAGGGCCATGTTTTTCCCATCCTCAGCCAAGCATCGTGGAAGAGGGATGCTCTTCCAACCTTGGACCCCCCTGGTACCCACCAAGGCCTTCTCCTGCCGGTCCTAAAGCAATGCTCTCTCTCACCTTTTCACTGTGCTTGAACTGCTTCCAGAAGCGCTCAAACATCTCTGGGTTCATCTTCTCTGGGAAGCAAGTCACCGTTTTGATATAGAGCTTGAGAATGCGCTCCAGGAGGTGGTTCACCTCGGCGTAGTCGTAATCGTCGTACCTGCAAGGCGGGCAACCGTGAGTGAAGAATGCCAGTTGCAAAAGGGAGCTGACCCAGCTCCCACTTTTTAAAAATGCATCTCAATGAACAAGTAATAGCAGTAATAACGAGTAAGCTGTGAACGGAGGAAAATATTGTGCCCTGAATCCCATGGTTTTGGCTGCATCTGCACTGCAGAAATAATGGCTCAATGATATGGGATTCTGGGATTTGTAGTTCGTTGTGGCACCAGAGTTCTGTGGCAGAGGATGCTAAATATCTCACAAACCCCCTGTTGCTCACCACTTTCCTTGTTGTTTACAGGAGGGGAAAATTAGACTGATATCTGAAAAAATCATGCCAAAATGGCTCTAAAATGATCTTTGATCTAATTATTGGAATGAACTAGAAACTGCTGATGCTAACACTGGTAACATAACTTCATTTTTACTCATCACCTTAATTTTGAAATGTAACTTCACTACCACCCCTTGTTGCAAAATTAACTTATTACATCTAACTAAGTTACAGGTAATCCCCATGCTTCAGTGGGTACTGGGTTTTGGACTCTTCAAGCCTGGAGCCATTGATGGCTGGTGGCTCCCATATCAGTGGAATGGGGACTCCACTCCAGGCTTATTCCTAGATAGGTTTTCAAGCTTTACGGCTTGGTAAAACCTGGCATGGATTTGCTGCCCCACTGACATGGGAGGCACCATCCACCTCTGCTTGGCACTTGAAACTCAGCAAGCCCAAGAAAGATGGGGAACCAGGTACCTGATCCCGAACATGCAGTGGATGTAGTTCCAAATGCCACGCTTGAAAGTGGCGTGTTCGCAGCCCTGCCGCTTGGCCATGGAGCAACTCTTGAGCCCATCAACCTTCCGGAATTTCTCGTCCAGCAGATGCCCGATGTCTGAGTAGAGCCGGTTCACTAAGGAGAAGCCATGGTCTTCCCAGGAATAATCCTGCCCAAGAAATAAGAGCAATGAAGGGGGACCAGCAAGAAAAGGAGGAAAGGGAAGCCCAGGTAGGGTCTACCCATTCCAAGGGGAGGGTTTCTGGGTTGCCCACTCTGCCCTATCCTGGCACCAACACCCAGCCACCCACCTGAACGCGGAATATTTGCAGCTGGTCTTCATCGCACTGAGCAAAGTCCTGGTACCCGAAATTGGGATCCTGCAGGTAGCAGGAGAGATCAGCAGCGCTGAAGATTTCTCCGTCAAAACCTAGGAGATGGGACACATGATGCACAATGGGAAACAGAAAGAGGAAGGCAGCAAGCAAGAACAGCTCTAATGTCGGGGTGGGTGATTCCCAAAGTCCAAGAAGCCATTTCCCTCCTGTGGACTTCCATTTTGTCTTCATTTATTTATTCACTCATTTATTTGTTTAAGTGCTTATAACCTGCCTCTTACCATACAACCTTTGCAGTGGCCAACATGAAATTCAGCTCAAGCCATCATATAAAAAAGCAGGAAATAATTCAAAGACATAGCCATGTTGGGTTGGAAAATCAGACTGCAAAGTGGTAGAAGCAGCCTTTGCGGTCCACGGACCGTGCCATCCCCACCCACCTTCTGCCTCTGACTTTGGCAAATGCCTCCAAGCCCAAATCCCCTCCTTGCCAACCTGAGGGATTACCTTCATCCCTGTCGGGAAGCCTCATCTCTTCCCGGGCCTCGTGCTCCACCTGCAGCCTGTGAATGCGTTCGCGCAGAGACTCCAGCTCCACACAGGAATCCAAGGACTGCATGGAAAAGAAATTAATTAACAAACAAACAAACACTACCAAATAGCTTCAATCGCTGCTTGTAGAATGAGAAAAAAGGAGCCCTGCAAACCATTCCAAGATCTTGCCAGCCCACTGAGGACTCCCAGGTCAGTGGAGTGGAGAATCCACTCCAGGGCTTGCTTGCAGCGCTTCCAAGGACAGAGCTCAGCACCTTGGCCAACTCATCTACAGTCTGGACCAGGGGTAGGCAACCTTTCCCCTTTAAGGGCCGAGGGACTTCAGCTTCCAGAAGCCTCAGCCATGTTGGCCAATAGTCCCATGTTGGCCAATAGCTCCTGGGATTCTGGGAGCTGAAGTCCCTCGGCCCTTAAAGGGGAAAGGTTGCCTACCCCTGGTCTAGACCAAGGTAAGCCTAGCAGATCCTTAAGCCTCCCACCAGTCGTGCAAGGTCTGCGCCCACACCACAAAAAATTGGCATGATTTTTCAGCAATTTTTGTAAGATGACCCTCAAACATGTTAAAATGCATGGAAATAATATCCCCACCCCACAAGCATCCAGGAACTTGTGCTACCCTCCCAAATGCCTCCACTTTCCTTTGCAGCCCTCTAAAAATGGCAATGGAGAGCCAGGGTGGCGTAGTGGTTTGAGTGTTGGACTTGGACCTTAGAGACCTAGGTTTGAATCCTGGCTCAGACATGTAAACCCATCGAGTGACCTTGGGCAAATCGCATTCTCTCAGCCTCAGGGGATGACAATGGCGAACCTCCTCAGAAGGAACTTGCCAAAAAAACAAGGAGGTAGGTTTGCCATAAATCAGAAATGACTTGAAGACACAAACCGACCATCAAAAATGGCAATAGAAAGTGATATCCCATCACCTCCTGCCGCCATTTTGGGAAGAAGCACAGGTGTAAATGGAGGTATTTATTTGAAGTCGCTGGAGTGTGTCTGTGTGCAGCCCAGGAGAGGAAGGGGAACTGATCCCGGGTCTTCCACAGTTGCCCACCTGCTCCAGACTAAGATATGGAAAAGACTCCCTGTCCAGGACCCACCCGCTTGCGGCTGAGATGCAGGACCTCCTGGCTGCAGCCATTGCCGATGTCGCAAAAGCACAGGCTCCCCGGCAGGGTCAGCTTCAGCAATCCCCGTCCCTCGGGGCCAAGGTCCTGCTCGCAGCCGCAGCCGAAAGCGAAGCTGGCCAGCGCGTGGTAGTGGGCCAGGAGCACGACGGCGTGGACCAGTTCAGCCAAGGACCAGCTCTGCTCACTGATCTTCAGCAGCTTCTGCAAGGCAGCGACAAGAGAAAAGCCACCTCTTTTCATTCCAGGCCTGGGTGCTAATCCTCAAAGCCAACACACCCATCCCACTTCACCAGAAGGCATTGTTGCTGACTGCTGGAAATACCCCTTCCCCTCGGATCCCTTAAACATGCCCGGCTCTTGTGCTTCAATTCAGGTGGAAACCATGCAACCTTCCGGACGGTGCTGGATTTCAACACCCCAAACACCATAGGGATGAACAACACCATAGGGACATTCAGAGGGTGGGGTGCACTTTTGAATATGTGCCCTCCATTGTTTTAAGTGAAATGTTTTGGTTATGCAGTGTTTTAGCCTGGGGGATGTAGTCCCCAAACTTCCCCAGGCTTTAGGGGAATGAAAATAAAAATAAACCTCCCTAAAGAAGATGGCTGCAAAAGAGACAGCTTATCAGCATTTTTCCAGAATTCACCCTTTTCCCTTCCTCCCCATCAATCAGGTTGCCAAAAACCAGTTGTTCAAAGTTGCAGAATACATGGCCTTTGAGACACCTCTCCTTTGCGTTTTCTCCTTTCTAAGGTGACGCTCAAAAACTCAGGATTGCAGGTAGTAATTCTTCTCCACCAATCTCTGCAAATATATAGATTTTTGGCTATAGGGAGAGGGCAGGAGTTGGGAGTAGAGAGGTTGACTCCACCATCTCAGCTTCGGAGTGCCAAGAATGCCACCAAATGTCCTGGGACTTCAGCTCCCAGCATCCCTGGCCATTGGTTATGCCGGATAAGGCTGCTGGGAGTTGCAATCGAAGAACATCTGCAGAGGGGGACATATAGACTGTGAAATAACCTGCAAGAAGAGATTCGACAGTTGAATACATTGTCTGAATGCAAAACTGCATTAAAGACCAATCTCTTCCGGCACGCTTACCCAGATGATTTTTAAATTGTGAATTTTAAAAGATGGATTTTTAAAATGTGTCTCTTAATTGTTGTCATCACTCCCCACCTCCATCCATAGAGAGAGGTGGGTAAGAAATAATAATAATAATACATTGGGCCCTTAGTATCCTGAGGTTTGGTTCCAGAACTCCCCGTGGATACCAAAATCCGTGGATGCTCAAGTGCCAAATTAAATGCAACGGTATGGTAAAATGGTATCCTTTATATAAAATGGCAAAAGCAAGGTTTGCTTTGTGGAATTTATATAATTTACTTGAATATTTTCAAGCCGTGGAAGCCTGAATCCGTGGATAAAGAGGGCTGACTTTAATAATAATAATAATAATAATAATAATAATAATAATAATAGTCAGCCCTCTTTATCCACGGATTCAGGCATCCATGGCTTGAAAATATTCAAGTAAATTATATAAATTCCACAAAGCAAACCTTATTATTATTATTATTATTATTATTATTATTAAAGGGATCAAAGGACACCCCTACTCTTCTCCCCCACGCTGCCCCCAGGTTTCTCTCTCATTCTCTGTCCAGTCAGCCCAGGGGCTTACCTCAATGTGCTCTTTGCCAACCAGCCAGGGTCTGTGGGCCAGGATCTTGTTGATCTCGCTGAGCTTGCGGAGTTTCGAGGGGATGTAATCCAGCCCCCGAAGCCACAGGGGGTCGCCCCCGACCCGGAGGAACTGCAACACGTGGAGGTTCACCAGGTAGTGACACCGGTGCCGGGCAGCAGCCTGCAGGAGACCGATGGGAGCCCACCACAGGCATGGTCAGCAAAGAGGACGAGAGAATTGCTCCAAAGGAGGTACTTTACACCACATATCCCATCGCTCGCTTGCACGGCGACATAACCAGGGTCAACTCCCCAGGCCAACAATTTCCTCCTCCTCCTCCTCTTCTCTCCCAAGTTCCCTGGTTGTTTTCAGGAAAGGGATCTAGGAACCATTCCTGACGCTTTGCCCTGTTTCCAACATTTCTTCTTCTTAAATCAAATGCTGAGAGAAATGTTGGAAATAGGGCAAAACGTCATGCTCAAAACAGAGGACATTTTGGAATTTCTCCTGGGCAGAAGGTGGAAATGTAGGGTGTATCCTGGAAAAGGAGGACGCCTAGACACCTTGTCCATGTAGCAAGGACCTTCAGATGTCCTGCAGGTTGAAATATAGGACGTATCTTGGAAAAGGAGGATGCCTGGTCACCTTGTTCATAAAGCAAGGTCCTTCAGATGTCCTGAAGGTTGAAATGTAGGATGTGTCTTGGAAAAGGAGGACGCCTGTAGCAAGGACCTTCAGATGTCCTGCAGGTTGAAATGTAGGATGTGTCTTGGAAAAGGAGGACGCCTGGTCACC